TGAAGATGACGAAGTCCAAACCTAAAAACATGATGTAAAATATTGCAACAAGGCTTTCGTGTTTCCACATACACATTTTCACAAGATATATTATAATACTATAAAGGTTAGTAGTATAAAATATTGTCGACGTCAGCCGTTTCGCGTGGAGAGTTGAGGCCGAGGCTGACGGAATCGCCGACTAGTAAAGATTCCTTTTATTTTATGTCTTTTTTTTGTACTTTTTCTTTCATATATAATTCATTTTAACTAAAATTATTATGATAGACTAGATCATGACCCGTGCTATACAGCACGGGGTTTTATTATTATTTTTTTGAAATATATTGTTCATTTCAAAATTTATTTAAAAGAAAAAAATAGTCGTTCGTCTTTATTGTGGTCCTTGGCGACCATTTTCATCACACCACGACAAAAAATTGGTATCAATTAATATATTTGTGCTTATAAACTAAAATGAATAAATTGTTCTTACTTCTTCTTCTCCCAGCGCACATCTAACATTTTGTTCATTAATCACTTCAATTATTTTTCAAACGAAAAATGTTCATTTACGTACATCAACTAAATTGATGTTATTTTGCATTGTTTATTCACATGACACATATCATATCACTTACACAAATCAACAATTGATGTTTGATTAAATAAGGTTTGAATATGTTTTTTGCTTGAATAGAAACTTGAACGTTTTCACTTATAGATTTAGATGTAATTACAAACATAAAATAAAGTTTGAATATTTTTTTTGCTTGAATAGAAACTTGAACGTTTTCACTTATAGATTTAGATGTAATTACAAACATAAAATAAAGAAACAGAATCATAAGTCTTTTATTTCTTAGAAGCTTGATAGCACAAGTGCTTCGCATTTGGATAGTGGAATCTGATTTAATTTTTTTTATAATACTAGGTTTAATGATGCCAGCTAATTCTATATATTTTACTCCATATTCCTGGCATGAGAAAAAAATAATCGTTTTTTCTGTCTCGTTTACTAACAAAAGAGACATATAAAATGACAAATAACAAAAACTACAAACATCAATTAAGTTTGCATGACTCATTCAGCTGATATCATCATTACAAAAAAAATATTAATAAAACTCTTCAAGTTTTTCATAAAATTACGATGACGTCATAATAAACAATTAGGAAAGGAATCAGTTTTGACCGGTTAAGACGGTAATCGGTTCAGAAGTGACTTGTCGCAACATCACTACCACTCGAAAGAAAACAGAAAACAAGGGGCACAAAAGACTTTTTCTCCGTAAAAAGAGACGGCGTCGTTTTCATCGAAAAGCAAATTTTAATTGATTACCCAAAATAGAGCGTTGTCTCATCCAATCAGAACCGTTACTATCGACGGAGACAGAGGGTATTTTGGGTAATTCATCGGGATTCCCTCACTCGCGGTTATAAACGAGAACCTGAAAAGCCTAACACAAACAAACACGCTCATAATAAAAATATCTCTCCTTCTCTCTCTTTTGTAGCCCCGCTAATATTTCGACACCTGTTTCAGTCTCTTTTGTTTCTTCTTCTTCTTCTTCTTCTTCGTCTTCCTCGATGTTTTAGACGAAGCAGAGATTCTCAGTTTACGAGGCTTTTGCTTACGGAATCTCTCTCTGTCTCAGATCCATCAGGTTTTTTATTTTTCCTTTTTTACTATATTTGTTTCGTTATATTACTGATTGATTATATATGAATGCATGGTTTGTTTTTGTTTCGTTTTCTGAATTTGTCCAGCTTATTTCTGTAATTGTCTCTTCCTCTTTTTAGGGTTTATCTTTTTCCTTTTTTTTTAAACCTTCAAGATGTTTACTTTTTAGAGTATGCATGATGATTTCTCTAATGATTGATTAATTCAGATTCTTTCTTTTTCTTTTTTGTTGGTTACACAAATTTTATTTTTGTTGTTGCGAATTTTATAGATCTTCTTCCCCAAAGTTAGAAACTTGTGAAATATATTCAGAATCTTTGTTGATTCCATGTATGTGTTTAAATTAACAATTATTTCCTTAGATCTTGTTTATTGTGTTTGGATCTTTATTTTACAATGGAAAATCTTCAGACATTGCTTGTTGTTATCACTTATCACTTATCAAAACAAAGTTGACTTTCGATTTTATTTAAGAAGTTTTCAAAGTCTTTAACATAATTCTGATTTGCTTTTGAGTTTTTTTTTTTTGTGTAACAGAGTTTTTTTTGTACTGTTTACTAATCTCTAGACCAATCTTATCTTATCCTTTTTTTCGTTCTGCTTTTTTGGGAAATTTCTAATTTTTTCGAGCATAGAAAGATGTGTCCTTCACGTTTCACTTTTACCTAAGGCTACAATGTTGCCACCATTAGTCATTTTGGTTGGTACTTGGTCCTTTTCAGATACAGTTGCAGCCAATTATTGGTCTCTGTACTTTGAATCTCTTAACATTGTCACAAGCCGCAACTTGTATTACACTATTGACTCAAATGCTTTTGTGATTATTAGTCTCAGCCTCTCATGTCATTGTAGTGTTATTGATCTTCTTGCTTAAGCTTTCTACTAACAAAATATTTTAACTGCTGCAGAAAAGTTTCTCTTGAAGATGGACAGGGCAGATACATGGGGATTTGTCAGTGGTGGGAGATGTTTATATCTCAAGTTGCTTTTATGTTTATAGCTCTTCAAAGTGTTCTAAGTATTTGTTGTTTTGGTCATTCTGTTTCCTCCGCTGCATTGTTCTGTCTTCTCTTCATATGGATTTGAACCAGAGTGTTGTTCACTTTTCTCGTGGCAATGGTATTGCAAAGCTTGACAATTTCGGCGATACTGCTCTTAGCTTGAAATGTCTTGGAAGCAGTGCAGGAAGATTCATTGGAAGCTCTCACCATAACCATAAGCTTTGTTCTGATGTTTCTAATTGTCCTGATGGTGGCTGCCGGTTGGTTCTCGGTTTGGGTCCAACACCGCCTTCGTATTATTACAATGTCACGGGTAATGATAATAACATCAAAGGCTCAGCTTCTTCTGGGAGTGTTCAGGAACTCTCATCAGGAGGCAACTCAATCCTGCAACTTGGTCCTCCAGCTGTGACCATGGATACTTTCAGCGGACTTGATTGTTCGTTGTTGACATACACGGATACTAATGTGTCCCAAGCTGTTGTTGACGAGGGTTCTACCTCAGCAAGGCGATCAGGTGGCTATATGCCATCGCTTCTTTTCGCTCCAAGGACGGAAAATGTTAGAAAACCTTCAAGAATGCAAGAGTGTAGTACGAATTTTGGAACTGATGCTTATAATTCACAGCTGAGCCATGAGTCAGAGTTCTCTGTTGGCGCTTTCTCTGACAGGTCGGCATCTGCTACGTCTTCTCAGCAAAGATTGAGCAACCCGAAGAAGTGCAAGTTTATGGGATGTGTGAAAGGAGCTAGAGGAGCTTCGGGACTCTGCATTGGCCATGGAGGTGGCCAGAGATGCCAAAAGCTAGGTTGCAACAAAGGTGCTGAGAGCAAAACTACTTTCTGCAAAGCCCATGGCGGAGGAAAGAGATGCCAACACTTAGGATGTACAAAGAGTGCGGAAGGAAAAACCGATCTCTGCATATCACATGGTGGTGGAAGACGGTGTGGATTCCCTGAGGGATGTGCTAAGGCTGCACGTGGCAAATCCGGGCTCTGCATCAAGCATGGTGGTGGTAAAAGGTGTAGGATCGAAAGCTGTACACGAAGTGCTGAGGGACAAGCTGGACTCTGTATTTCCCATGGTGGTGGACGGCGTTGTCAGTCTTCAGGCTGTACAAAAGGTGCTCAAGGAAGTACAAACTACTGCAAAGCTCATGGTGGTGGGAAACGCTGCATATTTGCGGGATGTACAAAAGGAGCGGAAGGTAGTACTCCGCTGTGTAAAGCACATGGTGGAGGAAAACGCTGTATGTTTGATGGTGGTGGTATTTGTCCTAAGAGTGTGCATGGTGGGACGAGTTTCTGTGTAGCTCACGGTGGTGGGAAGAGGTGTGTTGTGGCCGGGTGCACAAAGAGCGCTCGTGGGAGGACTGATTGTTGTGTGAAGCACGGTGGTGGGAAACGGTGTAAGTCTGATGGTTGTGAAAAGAGTGCGCAAGGTAGCACTGATTTCTGTAAGGCACACGGTGGTGGGAAGCGCTGCTCATGGGGAGGAGATTGGAAATGCGAGAAATTCGCTAGAGGAAAGAGCGGTTTATGCGCTGCGCATAACAGTATGTCCCAGGATAAAGCTGGAAGCAAGGTTGGTTTGATTGGACCGGGACTTTTCCGTGGCCTTGTCTCTACTTCTTCACAAACCACAACAACTGCAACTACTACTACCACTGATCATTCACAATCTGGAGTCAGCGCGGTCTCTGATTGCACGGAGTCCATTGATCGCCCGCTGCCACCGCTGCTTCATCAACCAGAGAAAAGACAGAAGCTGATGATACCAATGCAGGTTCTTGTGCCTCCATCAATGAAATCCTTAAGCTTCTCAAACACCGAGAGACCCGAAATCGAAACAAACAACAACAGTAGTGGCAGCAATGGGAGGAACATCTTTGACTTTATGATTCCTGAGGAGAGAGTTCACGGCGGCGGGCTTATGTCTTTGCTTAATGGTAACATGAAACAAACACTCCATTGATGGAATTTGAAAGCTTCTTCTCTATGTGGTAACAAAGCTAGAATCTGTGTAAAGCTTCATGTAATATGTATAGTTTTTTGGGGTTTTTTTGTTACTCTTTCTCTCTTGGGTCCTTTGTAAATTTCATGGGTCTCTGTTTTTGTTTGGTCTGGTCTTGACTTGACCATCTAGTCGATGGCTTGAACCCAAGTCTTTGTTTATTTGATCATTGTTGGGAATGTTGCAAAATGTAGTAAAAAGTGTTCTTATGTTTGGTACAAAAAAAACCAACTGGGTCAAATCAGCATTTCCGGTTAAATAGTTTTTTGGTTTAGTTCGCCTTGACCGGTTTAATGGAAGGTCAAAGAAACTCCGTCAAAATTAAAATACAGTAACAAGTAACAGCCAAACCAAGTCATCAAATGGATAACGGAATCCTTCCGCCGTTATATTTTCCGTTAGCTTTATATATACACTGAGGCGGTTAGCAACATTTCGTCTCTTTGAAACTGATTTTTCCCTCTTCTCTCTCTCTTTGCCTTGGAGATTTTTCTGAGCAAGCTTCGTGATGCTATCGAACCAGAGGAGCACGAATTAGCTTCTCGATCACGATTCTTTTAGGTATGCGATTTTGATTTCAGTTCCGATTTCGAGCTCTATCGCGATTGAATCTGTGTTTTTTCCCGTTCTCGATTCCTCTAGGTTTTGTGATTTTACGATCGGAAATTTCGGTTCTTCTTCTTCGTTTTATAGTTCAATCGTTCTCGATTTTGATTTCTTCAAGCTGTGATGATGATTCTCGGTAAATTTCCTCTTTGAATCTGAGGTAGATTTTGCTGTTGTCTCGTGAATCTTCATCGTCAGTTTTGGCGGGAAAATGTTTCTGCGGTGGCTTGTTCTTGATTGAATCTGAAAATTATTAATGTCTTGTGCTCTCGATTACATTTTTCAGATCGTCGTCACAGTTTTATCGGAAAGCTTTAGCGGCTGAGAGAAACAGTGAATAAGTCGAGACTTCTCTGGTGATTTGTTTTTTTTCTTTGTGGTTTTGGTGATTGCAAATCCTCTGGTGATGTTGATTAAAAAAATGTCTCATTTTGAAGTCTGGTGATCTCAGATTCTCCTACTGTAGCGGTATGTTGGACAAAGACGAGCCGTTTGTCTACAACGAGGTGGATTACAAGACGCCGAAGCAGAGTCCCCAAACTTGGCCGATGGATAAGATCCGGCAGAGCCGTTTTCAACATAAAATGTCATCTCTTTTGAGTCCGGTGACTCCTAAAAGGAATTACAACATCAGCAATGCAAAGTCACTCTTGCTGCAATGCTTACGGGACGCTAAATCAGATCCACTCCCTCGTAGGCGCTTTCCGGTTTCATGCACAGATGAAGGAATCTTGATGGATGGTGTTCTGGTCACATCAGCCACTAAAAAGAAGGTGTCTGAGTCTCCTTCAAGCTGTCCCGGACGATCAGCGCGTTCTTCAATCTTCCGGAGTCAGCACAAGAAGAATACAGAGTTTAGCAGCCCTATAAGCGAATCAGGCCGTAACCAGGTTCGTCTTTCGCTCTTTATTGTTTTCATACTTTTGAGATTAGTATCGGTAAGAACCTAGAACATTACTGAGTTACTTAAGAAACACTGCCTGTGATATTCCACAATGGTCACAACATAGAGTTGCTAGACGTTAGTGATTGTTGTAGATCAAAGGAAATTGGAAATTTCTATTTTTGTTGAACATGTTACAGTTATAGATGATGTTGAACTTCCAATGCCTTGATCCATTCAGGAGAAGCAAAGATTGTGTATCCTTATCGCAACTAAGCTCACAATTCTGTGTTGAAATGTATGTGTTAAGAGTTCTTTGGTGATTTTTCAGGAAACCACTCTGTCTCAGCAATCTTCTTCAGCTGGCGAGGGAAAGATTTTAGCAAATAGTCCTTGTACACCAAAGGTTTTACTTCGCAACGCATTCTGTATAAGGATGCCCTGAAGAATCATAAGTTCGTAACCAGTTCTCATTTGCTTTTATCTGTGTTTATTAGGCTGCTAATCCTTCAAAACTGCAAGCTTCTGCTGAACCATTCATCCTCACACCAAGACAAGCTGCTTCTCCTTTTCCACCACAGCAACTGCCATATGATCATTATAATCCGCAGTTTCCATGCGCTGTAAGTTGATCTGAACTCACACTTTTTCTTCTATGATCAACCTTTTTGTTTCAGAAACGAACAACTCAAACTCTAATTACGCTGCAGAATCCCCTGCACCTGCAGCCATACCCGTACTTGCACCGGCCTCGGCCTCTGATCTACGTTTATCAGAGACCACCACTTCTTCCGCTCTTACCCCATGGGCCTGACCCCTATACGCTAAATAGTCAAAAGGACTTTCCTCCAATTCTCTCTGGCAACCAAACACCAACCACCAGTCCACATTCACTTCCCACAACACCTTCTTCTAGCCAGCCCAACACAACCACCAGCGACTCACCAGTCCACACTCCCATATCTACTACTTTTACAGCCAATCTCAATACCAGTACTACCACCTCCACACATGGCCCCTCACCTTCTGTTGATAGAGTCGACACAGTGGCGAAAATACCAGACTTGTCGTCGTCACCTTCTGATGGACTCGAAACAGTGACGCAGAAACCAGACTTGGCTTCACCTTCTACTGGACGTGAAACAGTGACGCAAAAACCAGACTTGGCTTCACCTTCTGCTGGACTTGGAACCATGACGATAAATAAAGACTGGTCACCCTCTGATGATGGACTCCCAACATTCACACAAGATCAACTTGATTTTATGAAATCACATAACAGGCTCTTCCCAGACTATGTTTTCGGGCGTTACAAATACAAAAAGAGAATGTCAGCTTTCAAACATCAGGAGGAGCACCGGTAAAACAAAAAGGTAAAATTCTGTTCATAAAAAGAAAAACTTCTATTCACCACTATATTTCTTCCCATACATCAAACTTTTTTTCAGCTTTTCATAGGATTGTTAAAAACTCTTTGATTACTACATATACATAGAAAGCTAATAGATATTTAGATAACAAACCAAAGAGAAAAACAAGTCAATGAAATATATGCATCTATCTGTTTCTTAATCAAATGCATCTTCTCTTGTTTCTATTGGTTTCTGCATTCCAAGAACCAACTAAATTAAACCCTTGGTTTTTTTTTAATCTTTTTAATTTTGGTTGTGTATAAGCTTTATACACTAGTGAATGATGCTTCTTCCAACCAATGTTCCCTTACGAAATCCACATTTTTTAGCTTAACGAGACTGATCTTGATATTTGCTATGCGATGTAAAATTCCACATCCAATTAGAACGTCTCTGGTTTAGACCAACAATATCAATCGTATAGATAGGTTTAAATATTGTTTTCGTTGAAAACATTATTCTAATTATGAGATAGTTATGCATGAAATTAAAACAGCAAAACCATGAAATTTTCCACATCCACTCCCAAACTATACAATGATCTTTTAATCTCAACCCACTCTTTCCCAACTTGAAATCTTTCAATTCCTTTTTTAAAATTATTATTTTTAGGTGTGCAAGGTGCTTGCATCATACATGAGTCAGTGCTTGCTAAGCAAGCACCCATTAAAAAAAATTATTTATATGGAAAATTAAAATAATCTAAATAGACGTAGACAGACGATGTTGCTTGGCTCGGCGACACAAGACAACTAACTACTAAACCCAATCAAAGATCTATAGAGAGAGAGTCTATAACTTGGAGCAAAAGGCTCTCAATTGCTCAACTCTTATAAATAATTTAACAATATATATAGCAAATCCTACTCTAAACCGGATCAGGTGTAGGCCACACGTATATCAAATTTAGAGGCCACACTTGAAAATTTATGTACTTCCAACATAATTTGCTTATAATACTCAAATTCTCTCATTTTTGTTCCCTTTAAACTTAGGACTGACTCATCAAAAATAGAAAATTTCTCACTATTTTCTCAAAAGTTACCTTTTTTTTTTATCTCTCATCTCTGGTTTCACAAAGAGAGAAAAAACAATTACTTTTTTTGTACTTCTCAAGTATTTAGCTATGGATTAGAATATAGTAGTACGCAAGTGTAATCTGATCCTACGATATATTAGACACCTAAACTTAGGGCCACAACTTATTTTTAGAAAAATTATTCTCCAAGCTGCCTGTCCTCTTCCATCTAAAAAAGAGAGAAACATAATTCGTATTTGTTGGTTTTTTTGTTGAGTTCGAACTAGACTGATCATATAAACTTTCAAGAAAGAAAGAACAAAAACAAAAATAAAACCCAAAAGTTAGTTTGGTCTATATAACTTTTTAAACACACTATTAGCCTTTCCCCATTATTATTCGCCAACATGGGGGGCTTATTATTTTAAGTCTCATTTGCATGCATCCAGTGGTAACATAATCATTATTTCCCATTATATAAATGCTCTAGTGTTTTGGATCTTGTTAGTCAAAACTCTAATCCGTTTCTACCAATTATAATATATTTTAGCTAATATTGTTCAAAGGATGAGAAGTAGGCTGCAATTTTATCCCATACTAGTTAGTAGTCCAGTAGATGTGGTTTTCCTCCTAACCTTAGGTACATTAGGCAAAAAGACGAGATATATTTTAATTTAATGTTTTATTGTGAAGCCTACACAAACCAATAATTTTAGGGTTATGATTGAATTCAGAATAAATCTTCTTCAGCTTATTAGATTGGTTTATCTAAACAAATTATATTTTTCATGAATTACTATATTGTTATTGTCGTATCGTATATATGAGCAATAAGTGCATATTTACACACAACTTGGGTTCATAATTGTAATAATATTTGCGGCAATTTGTTCACAATACAATTTGCTAACTTCTCCCATATAATATGCATATATATATATATATATATATATATATATAAATAACTAACATAATTAAATCAGTATTAAAAATTAATAGAAAGATATATTTGAATTTAGAAAAAAAATTACAACAAGACTAGAGCTTCTTCCTTTTTTGCTTCTTGCTTGCAAATTGGGGATTTGCTAATCTTACAACATATAACCTGTAAGAATGATGTCATTTCATTCTCATTCTCCTTTTCCCTATTTTTTTCTTGGGTGCTTCTGTCTTTATTACGGTAAGCTTACTTCGTCAAGATCATCTAAAGACAAAAACACTTCATCCAAGCATGAGAGTTCTGTCCCATCATCGTCTTCTTCCTCACTGCAATTTTGCTCATACACTCTGCATATCACCCACTTGCTATAATCCTGCACACAAAAATCCATGCCACGTGGAGGTCAACTACTAATTTTAGGTTAAAAGAAAATGTAATTTTTAAGTTAAAGCTGACAACTTTAGGCTTGTGAAACAAACGGGTACTCACGGGTTTGTGACTAGAACTAGAAGAAGCACGGTTTGATCTCTTAGAAGATCGACTAGATGAAGAAGAGGAATCTGGGAGGGAATATTCTTGCATGATCCAGTTAGTCTGAGAATCTCCGAGATAGAAAGTTAGATACTTTTTGATGCCCACTTTCTTGTGTGTGGAGCTTGTGTAGATTGGCTCGTCCATTCCCATTGATCCCCAATACCCATTGCTTGTCACTCTCTCTTGTGTCTTTCTACTATAGAAGTACCATTGCCTCCCTTCTCCCAAAGCTTTCCCTGTAGTTTATACGTAAAAAAGTTATGTGTGTATTTGAAATTTGTTTGTATGTATGTCTACGTACATGTTTTGGTGAGTGTGTACAATATGTATATGATTGATTGTGTTGGTGATCATGAGATCGAATGATTGAAATTGGTGCACATGTATGACTATGAACAAAGCAATGTTAATAATGGTTCACCAATTAATAGATTCCTTCCGAGAGAATAAAAAAGAAAGTTATTAGGTAAAAGATTGGTACTATTAATATTTGTGTGTATGGTAAGATTTGGAAACAAAAACAATCCTTAAAAAGAGCAACCCAACAAAAGTGTACTGCTAAAAAAAAGGGAAAAAAAGACAGATTGGTTACTTAAATTGGTGACAACAATCAATCTACGTCCTTTAATCTGGATCCTTATATACACACATAACAATTTATAGTCAACTATACATATATATACATATATATGCACACGTACATGCATGTTTAGAACTATGGGATCATTATGATCATGTTGCATCATGATGCATATATTGAGAGAGAGAGATAGAGAGAGATATGTGTCTGTATATACCGGGAAGGTCCCAAGGATCGTAATGGTAAAGATCGAGGTCGGGGATGACGTCAGGGTGACAAGGCAAGAGGGAAGCTTTCCGGTGGAGGAAGTGAACGACGAGCTCTTCGTCGGTCGGAAAAAACCTAAATCCCGGTGGTAGATTCATTGATAACGATATTGATCTCACTACTTCACATGTACATATGTGGTTGCGTGTGAATGTGTAGAAGAAGATTATATAGAGAGGATGATGTGGAGCCAGAGGAAGTGTGTGAAAGAGATTGAGGTATATATAGGAGATCGAAGAAGAAGAAGAAGAAGAAGGTGGAATTTGAAAGTCATGTACTTTTTATATATGGCTTCTTTAATTCAGTTGCACATACACATTAAATTACCACCTTGAATTTGTTTTTTTTTTTAAATAGGAAAATTAAAGGAAATGATAAAAGAAAAACAAAAGAGAATGATGATGGTAAATTGGTAATAAAGATGAAAGCAAGCAAGTGTTAAAGCTTAATTTCCGAGAAGTCGTCGGCTTAAGTGGATCTTACAATTTCGGCTGCCGTTTTTTTTTTCTTCTTTCTATTTTTTTCCTTTTTCAATTTATTCTTAAAAGTAAAAACTGTGTTTCCAACGTTTGTAAGGGTTTACTGAATTTGATGTTTAAGATTTCATTACCAGTATTGTTTTTACGGCTCTTTTTTTTTTTTTTTATCTTACCACTGGTCATAAGTTGGTTTTTGATTTTTTTTTGAAAAAGTTGGTTTTAGATTTTAATCAAATATTTTCTCATGTTACAACTTACAACATAATCATTTTTCTCCGCTATTACTTACACATGCATATTCAGGAATTTGAATCCAATAATGCACTATTACAAACCAATAAACTATAAGTCTCTTTAGATAGTTAAAATCTAACACATTTTACCGATCTGATTTTAGTTTTTATTTTGATTTTTTTTTTGTCTAAATTTATTTTGTTGATAGACATAAAATTTGCAAGAAAAAAAATGTATATTTCTATAGCGCATAAGAAAACCTAAAGATTGAACAAAAAGATTACAAATATTTATTATTTGGCAAATATTTTAATTCTAGTAAGAGAAAGAGGCGGGCGAGGAAAACAAATGAGAGGTGTTGAGGATTGGATAGTTCCACGCAAAAGAGTATCTTCTTTCTTCTTCTTCACCACTAAGAAAGTAAGAAGAAGATTCTTATCCACTTCTTCTTATTTCTTCTTTCTATTTTTTTTTTTGTATTTTTATATCTAATTAAACTCATTCTCAAATTGGGGTGGAGAGTATAAGGCTTTCGTGAGGTGCGCAGACAAAAAATTTTTTTGTTTAAGTCGGCTTTAATCACCTGGGGTCGTCATTAAATGAGTGTATGTCAAGTCAGAGCACATATATTTTTGGTTGGTTCCATGTATAGCTGCTAAAACCATCTCCGATGTATTTCCCTATTTTTAATTTTATCTTTATAATAAAGGTGAGTTTTCTTTATTTTTACTCCAATATGTTCTTCTATTTTTTTCTCTAAAAAATTTAATTCTATTTATAGGGAAAAAAATCAAGATTCTCTATATAATCCTCTATATATAGAAAAAAAATAGAGATTTCTATTTTAGAGGTGAGAATAGAGGTGGGTGGATTAGAATACCTCTAAAATAGAGTTTAGAGACAAATATAAAGGTGGGTTGGAGTGGAGATGCTCTAATTATTGAGGTGATTTCAGTTAGTTTTTTCATTAAATATTTTACTAGTAGTACTATCATTTTTTTGTATTAATTATGTTCTCTGTTACGAATTAAGTACCTATCTTTCTAAACATTTTTATTAACACAATATCGGTTTCCAAAAAACAGTCATAGACTCATAGTAATATCAGCTATCTAACAATATGTTGAACTAAATAGGGGAAAAAACATAATTCATGTAAAATCATACTTCATGAAGAATACAAAATACCCTATTTTGATATATAAACATAAATAAATTTTTAAAAGAAGATAATATAAACATAAAGACAACCATTAAAAAAAAAGAATCAAGCCCATAGCAAACTAACGATTGCACTATTCATATATTAACCTATTTACTTATTATTTTTTTGAAAAAGAATTAACCTTTTATTTCATTTTATCAATTGTAAAAAATAATCACTAGAAGCTGCTTATGGCCTTTAGTCTATATCTACGTTTTAGTAATGGTTTCTATATACTAATAATTAATGAAGCCCACAGTTTACACTAAATAACAAACCAAAATTTTTGCTACAAACCAAAACAATGCAAATTTCATAATTTTGGGAGGAGGAAGAACGAATTCGAGGTCGATGAGTGATGATGACACTTCATGCTGAGATCATGCACACCGCAGTATTCCACGTGGCGCACATGAATATGAGTTTGGTCGTCAACCATTGGATTCTGGGCCCCAACCTTTCTTTGCCTTCATTTTGAGATTTGTCTTTGTACCTTTGTACCCATTAATTAATTACCCAACTCCTTTATTTTTATACTAATACTGAATTTTTAAGCTATTTTATACGATTATACAAAATAATTCATATATTAATCTGCTTACAACAAACACTAAACTTCCATATAAATTTATCTTCTTTAATTACATATTTATGTACTCAAACTAAGATGTACTTTCATATAAATTAAAAAAACCTTAAAAAGAAACAGGTACTAAAATAAAATAAAATTATATTGAATCAATTAAACTAAATACACTTGAGTTCATAACTTCATATACATCTCGTGAGAATGAGATCGATAACTAAATTACTGAATCTCTTTAAATTAAAGGGTGCCTTGGAGGCAAGGCAACCTCAGATTCATCCAAGTAACTATACTAAACTTATAAATATATTAATGATTTATGTATATACGAAGAAAACTTTTAAATTGATCAATCTTTCTCATTCATATGCATGAGTCTCCCTCAAGTAGCAATCAATGGCTTTTGTTATAAAATTGAGATCCACACAAACTCGAACACTTCCCATATAGATTCAGAGTTCAACTATAGATTTTTCTTCTTTGGACCCACTCCTTCTCTTAAAATAATTGACCTCTACTATTAATATTTGCTTAAAATAATTGACTTGTTAATTGCTATTTTACTATTATTGTTTTCACTGTTTGCTTCAAATAATTGCTATTACTATTGTTTTTTTTTCACAGTTCTTGATATAACTTTTTAAAAAAACTTACTAAGCAATTCATCAGATCAATTAAAAAAAAAGATAAAAGAAGAAGAGCATAGGAGTAGGCAGCCCCAATGAATAGGAGGAGTGTGTGGGTGCTCCTCAAACTTTGCTTCAGATTTCTCCAATGTTTTTAAAATTAAGAAATTCTCTACTATAAGTGTATAACAACAAAATGTGAACATCAAATTTCTTGATAATATTATTCTTATAAAAAGGGCAAAATTGTCAAAAGACATGAGTCACATTTGGATGATCTATTGCTTACGCTTACGCAGGCACATGCCCACGCCACACGCGTGATCGAAAGATCTTTGTCTTCTTTAGTTTTGTCCTCATTATTTAACTATCAATCTAATAAGTATATATTTTCATTTTCACTAGACAGATAATTGATGTTATATTTATTTATTGCTTGCATTTATACTAATCCACTAAAAACATATCGAAAGCTAAGGTGAGTGAGAGTATATAGTGATCCAAAAAGTACATCCAACATACAACGGAGTAAATTGAATTTGATACATACTGGACAATCATCGTGTGATTTGGAAAACAATTTACTATTTTAGTTAGCAAAAACTTAATTTTGTAAGATTGAGAAGAAAAAAATCAAAACAAAATATTCTGATTGGATTGTTTAAGAAACAAGACACCAAAATAGACGAAATCTCAATTAATGAGATCGTAGCTTAGTGTTACCATGTCTCGTCTTGTATCATATCTCATATATAAATCGCATTTATATGTATAAATTAAATACAAAATTTAAACAAAGTACTATTTTTAGGAAAAACAATTTACCATTACGGATGTTTTTTAAAATTACGGTAAATTACCATTCCAATAAACCTTTGTTAATAATTTAATATGACTGAAAAGATTTTATATTTTCAAAATTTTACAAAAACTTAAATTTCAATGAAAGGTTTTGAACTCAAACTATTAGTAAAGTAACAGTCGAGAATTATTACTTGTGTGAGATTAGTAATAGCAAGATAAGACTCACCACAAACAAACGAAAATGCAGGGATCTAAACAAATATGATAAAGAAAAGGTCTTCGATTAACAGGAACTACGTGGTGTTAATAATGGAGATGAAGTGTGAAGTTGATACAAAACAAAACACAAGCAATGAATCAAATCAAACTTTTGCGATGATAAAAAAAAAGCCTTAATTTGATTTAATTTTTTAGTTAATGGGTGAGAGAAGAGGAGATTGGATATAGGTTTCAAACAAATGGGACTATGGGAGTTAGGCAAAAGTCAAAGCCAAACTCAAACTCGTCAAAGCCTTTCATACCCACATGCCCAATTTTTTTTGTTTTTATAATTTTTTGACGAATTGCTTTCGTTCTTATCTATAATTGTTCCATATCGGTAATTTTGTGCATCACTTTTTATGACATTTTTTAAGTACCAAATCATCTTTAAATTAGATTGTTACATTTGGAATTGATACCCCGCAATGGTACAATGGATAAATAAATCAAATTGTGTGGGAGATGTGTTGAGACTTTGAGGATATGATTGAAAAGAAAGTCAAATGTGACAAACTTTGCAAATTGTTAGTCTCTTAAGAGGCCACGTCTCTTTTAAAGGATAAAACTAAATGCCGTTTTACGGTTTAATTTCCATTTTATTTTTATCTTACTTTCGAGTTATTACAGCTGAGAAACGTTAATCCGATCGCCTATTACACCTCCTAATTTTTTTTTTACATGAGTTATCGCTATAACTACGAAGAAATGCTCAACTAATAAGGTGATGCATCTTTAGTTTCGATAAATGCAAAAAAATTACATGTTTTTGGAAACGAAAGTACATATCAAATCTAGTAAATTCATAAGCTATCTGACACATAATTACACTAATTATTTTTAAAAAAGTAAGAAAAAGGGTAAATATGAAGAATATATACCTGTGGAAATCAATCTCACGCAATCTAAAAAAGATGGATAATTGTTTAGTTTCACGTCACACATCATATCCAACACTTAAAAGTTTTCTAGTGGAAGTCCTATGAATATGATTCTGATATAGATGGATAATTGTTTAGTTTCACGTCACACATCATATCCAACACTTAAAAGTTTTCTAGTGGAAGTCCTATGAATATGATTCTAAAGCCTAATTATTACATAAAACAATAATGATTCCTAAATTCAAGTCTATCATTCTAATTTTCCATAAGATGAGTCAAGAAGACTCTTATCAGCTAAATTCCAAGATATATATAGATAGTTTTACTCCAAAAAAAGAAAAGAGAATTGCGGTGAAAACAAGATAAAAATTTCTGGAAAAAGAAAAGTAACCACCAAAAACTGATGACTGTACAGAGTCCAGAAGCAAAATGTTGTAATAATTTTGATGTCGAAAAAATGTAACACGACTCCTAAGTGCTAAGGCCTGTAGTGAATAGTAATGTCCCATTAAGAATCACTTTCAGGTTTATAGGCAGCTTAAAGTTAAAAAGTATGGTTTTCTAACAACAATGAGGTATAAAATTAACACGTGCAGTTGCAATTTCTCAGACTTTCATGTCATATCATGAAATATATATTTTAAACAAATTTAGAAAGATATTACAATCCAATTCAATTCAATTCCAAAACGTGTGTGTAAGTAAGAATGATATCCTTTCTTTTTATGTCTAAGATAAGGTTACCGAAATATTGTAAAAATAACCTAATCAAGTAAATAAAAAAGAAAGACAAATTTACCTTTAAAGATTTAAGTTTTGCTGTCCATATTTTTCCTCTTTCTGATGTAAATAATTATCATAAACTTTACATCTGGCGACTTTGCTGCAAGCTGCTTAGCTAATAGCTAACTTTGAATTCACAATAGTTTATGGTTTCTACACATTACATACTTACAAACATGTGTGAGTCTCTAAGAGAGAAAGAGATATTGAAGAATACCTGAAGTGAAATCTAGGTCACGAGACAATGACAATACCGGACTGCATGAGATGATGAAGCAGGAAAAACAATATATGAGTAATAGTTTAGAGTAAAATGGCTTTGCAAGACTTGCAATGGTTGTATGTTTCCTTACATCGTCTACTATGAATCGATCTATGCTACTGAGTTGCGGTTGTAGCCATTCAAGTAAATATGCCGACAAATTTTGTTGCCCCGTTTGTAAAGACCGATGATCAGCTGCAGGGATGATAAAAGATTTTTTTTGCTGTACAGTAAATGAAGGAAGACATAGAGAGAAAGCGAAAAACCGAGAAAAAAATATTCTAACCAGATTTTCGTATGATTATCTTATGTGTTACAAATGCCTGCAATGACCACAAAGAAAGGTAGTGAGAAAGAATCATCCTTCGAAACAATCGATAAAATTTTGTAGATCCTGAAATCGTTTGTGTCAAAAATGATCTACAAAGCATTCCAAGAAGAGGCTCTAAGGGTTCACATCAGAAAATGACCTGCCAAGAAGAAGGCATGAATTCACGAATTAGAGGTTGCTGAGCTTTACTTGCAGCGTTCCCTGGAAAATCGTCGTTTGAGGAGAACTTTCTGAAATTTTTGGGAAGTTAGAGATGAAGCGACTGTAGCAACAAAAAAGAAACCGTATACAGAGCATTTGATTAACCAACTAACCGATTATTCTCAATTGCTGGGTACTTTTCTTCATAAATTGTAGCCTTAGTGGCAAGTACTACCAGCGAATGCACCTGCAGGAGCTTCTTCAACTCTTGCACTATCATCTCCACCACATTCGTTAGGGACAGACTTTTCCTATATATCATGAATATAAGTCTCACATAAAAAGGATCAAACTCAAAGTTCCTCAAACTCTCTAACATGTTGAATTAAGTAAGCTAAAGACACAGAATCCAAATAAAGCAACCAAATTTGTATAGAAACAGAGAAGCTGTCACTTTACATACACCATGTCAGTTTTTTTGGGTATCCAGAGTCTCCTTTAGACTGTCTTTATGTAGATATCTTACCTGTTATGTGTCTCCAATGCCAATGATGATGATAGACGATCAGTCCAGTGGAAAGCACCAATGCTGGCGAAAAGATTGCAAAATAATTAACTCAAATACTTCTTGTGCGCTTGCTAGATAGTAGTGTGCATAAAACCCTACAATGCATCTGCGAAAGTAACATTACACTAGGTTATCTAGCCATATGGCATCAATAGTAGCGCCAATCATGTAAACCTGATCTAACCTATGATGGACTAGTTTCAGCATTTAGAGAATAAAAAGTTCTGAAATGGTCCTGGAAGATATATTAGATGAAAATAGCATCTGTAGATCTAACTGAATGAGAAACTAGTAGATTCAAAGACAAACCTGTCAATCATAAGCACTCCGACTTGACTTCCACAGGCTTCCTGTTGTCGGATCCGGTAATGCAATGTCTGCAACACAATGACATAATGATACAAACTTTTCAACAGGGTCCTAGTATCCAACACAAACCCAACAATATGAGTTACATCAACAGAAAACACTACCTTGAGACTGGACAAAAGCTCAAGACTATCATAGCAACGAACATACAGAAACCTTTTCATGCATGAAACATATAACTCCTCATCAAACACAGTCTTTGGCTTCTCTTGTGCAGATTTGCAACTCTTAACATTTGACTCTTCAAGTTGCCACCATGCTCCATTTCCTAACCCTGATACGCGGAAACAACCACATTCAACCATCTTCGATATACATCGCATATTATAACACTACACTAAACAAAAACTTAAAACTACCAAAGATCACACTATGACTGAGATTATCTCAATTATTTCATGAATTTGAAACTGTTTATGTATAAGTATGCATGTATGACTACTTGATTGCAAAATCAAATGCAAAGTAAAACGAAGGGAAGGGTTTCAGGAATTGCATACGGTTAGCTTGAAGAAGACGATGCTTGAGCATTTGAGATAACCGGAGTACATCAAAGCGACAATCCAAATCGAGAAACAAAACCAGTTTCCCTAATCCTCCATAGTGAATGCCGTTCCACGTTTTAGGAAGAATGCAACTGATCGCAGCTTGAATCAGGATCTGAGTTTTCGCAGACGGAGATGCGCCGGTGATCTCGACTACGTTCCCGGCGCGTAAAGGTACACGGTGAAGAGGCGGAAGAAGCATGAATGCACGGTCTTTAAGAACCCTTGATAACATCTGCTTCGCCGTTTCGTCTCCGCAAATCCAACTACGCGCTTCTTCTTCTCCCATCGCTCGTCACGCGCGTGTCACTAATTCCGACGTGAAAGTCTCGGCGACTAGCCGGAGATAATGGCGAATGAACTATGGGCTTACAAGAGAAATGCCCATGGGCTTAAGTTAAACATTAATAATGGGCCCAAACTAAGATATATGTTAAGCCCAAGAGTATATTAATGTCATATTCTTTCAGTTTGGTCCCCATATTTTTTGTCATTATCCACATTTATCCATGGATTTAGCGATTTCCTTATCAGACACCCAAATATTAAAACCACTTAAAAGAAACAAAAATATGTAGATATTTGATTTTCACCCAAAAAAAAAAACGGAATAATTACAAGTTGCAGTGAAGATTAACATACACTTCTTCTGCGATATGGTGAGTAAAGTAAAACAAATACAAGATCAAAAGTTTGAAAATTTTCTCATAAAACATGTTTTATATGTCCACATGATTTACAAAGTGAAAGGGCTTGGAGGAGACTGAATGATTGGAAGTTTCGACATGGTTACATTTCCAGTAATCACATTTTGCGCAATCGTGTCCTCCAATGGTATCGGATCAACTCGCATTACGTTCTCTGGGATAACTTTCTCTCCATCAACTTTAGCAAGAACCTCGAAATGCATTCTCATTGTCTCAGGCTTTGTTCGCCACTCTGGAAAGCTTAAACCTTCAAGATCTGCTTCCTTGAGCTTCTTTTCTACACCAAAACCAATCTTCATAAAAGTTTGAGCCGCGACATTCGCTTTCAACACCTTAAAGGAACCTTTTTCCTGAGCTTTGGGACCCAAAACAGAGGTCAGTAGCTTCTCAAAGCCGATTAAGTTAGCATTTGAGCCATTGATTGAAGTAATTGGCCACATTGTTGTAAACTCTCTTGGGGTAAGAACGGTAGTCATAGCGCTGGTGCCAATCGTTGAGAGACTCCTTTTGTCTTTAGACATGGAAGATAGTTCCACAAGTCCTGGAGCAAGACGCTTAAGCTTGAGTTTGTTGTCAGGAGATTGTGAAGTTGATGCAAGAGAAGTAGGACCAACAATGCGGAGCGAAAGAAGTGGACTTTCTTGATCAGTTGAAGAACGTCGAAGCTGTTCAGCTAACGACAAAAGTCCAGAGGCAAATTCATTGGAGCTTTGGTTCAATGGAAGTGGCAAATCAATGGGATGACGCAAACTAACAGATCTAGCTCCTTTAACTGTTACAACAGAACCATCTGATAATATCACTTTCTTCAAAACACCAGCATCCACATCATACTGCATATATTTTGACAGAACAAATCAATAAACAAAACCAATTCCGATTGTTCAAAGCATAACCAATGTATAATAATTTTTCAAGCTTACCGGTAAAGAAAGGCGCATATTGTTAGCATCTTGGATCCAAAGTTCCATAGGACCAGCAAGTTGAAAAGGAGCTAAAACAGGTAACACATCATCACTAGATGTCTTCTTGTTCCTCATGGGAACCAAACCATTTCTATTTGGTTGTTCTACTTGGAAAATAGGGAGATCTACGTATCCCCATCGGTTCACATCCTCAAGAAGCTTAAATGGAAGCACTTTGTTGTCGATTTCTAAATCAAATTCATAAGAAACAGAATGTCCTACCAATGCATCCCTTACATCAAAACCAGAAACCTTGACTTCCTCAGATTGGAATCCAAGTCCCTTCACAATTGCTTCCTTCAAATCCTATCAAAACCAGACATTTTAAAGAGAATGTGAAGTTAGGAAAGTGAAAAAGCTTATACATGAAACATTTTATGATATTACATTATTACTATATCAAGCAAAGAACCAAAATTTCATATTCTAAGAGCTTAAAAAAAAAACTTTTTTTGATTAACACCAACAATGACACCTTCTTATCAATATCTATGAACTCAATCAAAATATAAAAAAGATGGTAAATTTCTTACCGAGATAGCTTTAGGGTAAGGAGGATTAGCCTCAGGAGACGAAATCAAAGCTCTAGACGATGGAAAAATCGTGAATAAAATTAGAAACAGAGCTCCGACACAAACCAATACTCTGTGACCCATCATTGATTGAAAAAAAAGAGAATTCAAACCCACGACTTAAAAAGAGTAAACCCTCGAGATTTATATGATTACGAGACTAATTGCGAAGCTGCGAGAGAAATATCACAGAGAACGAATGAAATTTGAGGCCTCGAAGGTTTATGATTGCGCAAAATTAGAAGGACCCAAATTTGGATATGTTGTTGTTAATAAGAAGGTTGTGGATGGTTCTGGAGTCTTTTTAAATGGCGTGCTCTCAAGGGAAGAGATGATGACGTGGAGAGTATTGAGTATTAACAATGAAAGACTGATGTGGCGCGAGATCAAACGATGTGTGACGTGGTGGTGACTGGTGAGAGACACGAAAACGGTTATATGGAAAACGACGTCGTGCAGCTAACTAAAATTTAAAATTACGTTGATTAAAAGGATATCTATGATATGGCTTCGCCCGGGTTCGAACCGGAGACCTTCAGTGTGTTAGACTGACGTGATAACCAACTACACCACGAAACCTTTGCTGTTGGTATTAAAATTCAAAAGTCTTATTATAGACAATAAAATGAATAAACACTGAAAAAGGAGCTAGCCAGTGAAACGAATCAATCACAAAACAGACCCAAGGAAGGAAACTTGAACCCTCCACGAAAATGGCAGCCACTAGAGTGATGACAACAGCTGCAGCAGCATCTGCCAACCAAACGAAGTTGTGTTTGTTCACAAAGCGACCTTTTGTTCTTCCTACGCGTAAAGTCTGTGGCTTTAACGGTTTCTGGTTCAACATGAGAGCCTCCTTAGTTGTGAAATCGAAGAGACCCTTTTCTTGTAATGAATGCCATTTATAATCCTCAGGTTCAGACAATTCAAGACTGAAACCCTTGATTACAGAGTTTTCCTTCAAGATGGATCCGGAAAGAAGGTAATCTCTGGTTTTTGTTCTCATTTCGAATTCTCTGTTGATCGAAATTTGTGTTGGTTAGGTATCTCCATGGCATGATATACCATTGCATTTAGGAGATGGAGTTTTTCACTTTATAGTGGAAATTCCTAAAGAGTCGAGATCTAAGATGGAGGTTGCTACTGATGAAGCTTTCACTCCTATTAAGCAAGACACTAAGAAAGGGAAGCTCAGATATTATCCGTAAGACGAGGTTTTGCATTTGCACCATCTTGTAAACATTAACTGGAACTATGGATTGTTTCCACAAACATGGGAAGATCCAACTCTGGCAAACTTTGAGGTTGAAGGTGCTTTTGGAGATAATGATCCAGGTAGGTTAAAAGATTTTGGTTTCTGTATGCGTTTCCACTCACAGAGCTTAGCTTATTTTTTTGGGTTCGTGTTATTCTTTTGTAGTTGATGTTGTTGAGATTGGTGAAAGATAGGTGAGGTTCTAAAGGTGAAACCTTTAGCTGCTCTGGCTATGATTGATGAAGGAGAGCTAGACTGGAAGATTGTTGCGATTTATTTAGATGATCCTAAAGCTCATCTTGTGAATGATGTGGATGATGTCGAGAAACATTTCCCGGTATGATCTCAAACAAATAAGTTTCATGTCTTCATGGACTATTAAGTTTTCTGCTCTCAGGGTACTCTTACAGCTATTAGAGATTGGTTTAGAGACTCCAAGATCCCAGATGGGAAGCCTGCTAACAAGTTTGGTCTTGGAGACAAACCAACAAACAAAGTAATATACCAAAAACCATTAAGACTCTTTCATATTTGGTCCATAGATTTTTACAAGGTTATACTTTTTTTTTTTTTTTTTTTTTTTTTTGTGTTTACAGGATTATGCTTTGAAGATCATCCATGAGACAAACGAATCATGGGCTAAACTTGTCAAGAGATCAGTTTCTCCTGGAGATCTTTCACTTTTCTAAAACAGTTAAAAGATAGTCTCTGCAATTTTCTAATCACTGAGCCTGTGACAGTTCGCTTTTCTTGTTTTCATGCATTTTGAGCAGTTAAGATTTTCACCAATTGAAAGAATGGGAAATAATAATTAAGACATCACATTTCTATTCCTGAACTAAGTTGTGAAAGAGAGACATCAATCTGAATCTGGAATCTAACCAAACAATTAAATTACTTTTTCTGTAGAGAAATAGGGATGATCATTCATAATTTTTACAACAGGAAACAAAGAATATACAGATGAAGGTAATTTTACATTTGTTTTATGTTTCAGGCACATTTCTATTGTCAAGAAAGTAGAAAAGGAAATGAGAATAAACCATAAAATTCTCAGTGACCTTGGAGGCTTTTGTCTCATGCTTCCTGGAGAAGAGGCGCAGCGGTTGATTCTCTGGGCACTGCATCAGGCTCGGAATCTTCGTTATATCGATCCACACTATTCAGGAAAATCCCTGTAGAGTCACAAACGCAACAAATCATTACTACCACATTAAACTAAAAAAAAATATTTGAATTTTGAGTTCCCGGTGTGGCTAAAAACCGAACCTATGGACCAAATTGCAGCAGCTGGGAAGAGAACGAATGTAAGAACAAGAGAAGTCACTCTCCAATTGTTCACGTAGTCCTGTGTGAGAAATGAGAAAACATTCAGAAGTCGGATATAGTGATGCCTCAAACTAATCGAGATGAGAAATTGCGTTTAACTGAAGCTTAATTTGATTAAGATATTAGAGCTCTGAATCAAGAATTTGTGGATACAGCTGAGAAACCAAACCTGAAGAACTCCAACGAGTGGTGAGGAAGGTACATCTCCAAAGATATGGATGGAGACAGTAGACATCGCCATTGCAAGTGGTCTCAAACTTGGTTTGACACAATGGAGAACTATGAAATTCACAGGACCCTAAACATCATGAAATAAATCAGAAGAGGTTGATTTGTGAAGCATAAAATGATATTAAAAAAAAAAACAATAATCAAGTATATGAATGATGGAAACCGAGATTACCTGTGTGGCAAAGACAAGAAGTTCACCAACAGCAAAAAGAGCTAGAAATGCATACATGCTCTTGAAACAGAAAGCAGCAAAGCAAAATAATGCTCCTATAAACGTTGAAACTGAAAGAACCTGCAAAATACAGAAACAGGCGATCAAGTACTAGTTTTACAAGATCATAAGTGGTAGGAATATATGTCAGGAATGTGGAATTTCTATCCATGTGAGGATAATTTGTCTTCCAAGTTGAGGATCTTACCTTAAAAGCATTTGAAATTGTAGCATCCATGTAATCTAGAATCACTCCTCCTGATAGTGTGCCAACGATTCCGCATATAACTGTGACCCCTCCAAATATCATATCAGCGTTTTCCTGCAATGGGGTAAAGGCATCAAGTGATATACTTCTACACATGGAAACAAAAACGCTCTGGTAATATTTTACCATCTTGTATATGTTATAACCAGCTTTTGGCCCCCAATATGAATATGCGCCTAAAACAAAGTTGTAAGCAATATACCCTGAGGAAAAAAAAAAAAAAACAGTTACAGGTAATCAATTAATCATACAACGACACAAATGCTTTTAACACATGACAAGGAAAAATGGTTACCAAGAATGTTTGTAACATAAACCTTATCTACCAAAAGCAATTTCAAATCTTTCATAACAGCTGAGAGCCCATAACCAATTGGCAAAACGTTTAAGTTATCTGTCCGGGGTTTTCCTGTATCATCTGGAGCGAAACCTGAAGATACAAGATTTATTAGAAATAGCTCAACTCCATCAGGGACATAGGGTGTGGGTGTTTGCAACTTCGGAAACACACCTTTCAAATGCAAGGGTTTGATAACAAAACCTAGAACAGCAAAAGGAAGCATAAGTATTGCTTCTCCCCAAAATGCAGCCCGCCAAGGAAGGACACTCCCCACCTACAAAACACACAGAAGAGCGAATTTAGGTCACTAAAGGTGGTATAAAACAGAACTATGTAATCAAAATCTCATGACATAGACAGAACGAATAACAAAAAGTAACTCACCACTCCACCATATACATAGCCAAAAGCATAGCCTGTCGGAATGCACATGTAGAATACAGCAAGCCACGCTGATTTCTGGTCAAAACAAACACAAAGTGCCTTGTGAATGATCAGCTTCCTTCCTATAGACATTAATTACCATCCTTTTTCTAAAACCATGGATTGAGAGAACAGATACATTCCAGAAGCAACTACCTGATCACGTGGGGCATTATCGTCAATAAATGGGGCAGCAAGACTTACAAATGATGCCTCACCAACACCAACAAACCTGAATAAGGTGAGACACGTAAAAGGGAGATGTATATGATTTTGAAAATATAATGAAAGAAATAGAAAAGCTAATAGAAACCCCACTTACATGCGACAGATTGTGATGGACCAAAAATCAAACGAAAGACCGCAGCCAATCACGGCGAGAGTCCAGATCGATAATCCAACTCCGATAAGTCTAAACGGATTAACACTGCATCACAGAACAGTAAGTGAGTTAAATAACCTTAACGATAATGAAATGTAGATTCAAATTCAGTAAATTGATGCCTATGTACTCAGCACTTTGGGGAATCCAGTCCACACCTCTTTGCTAATGAAGCAAATATAGGAGAGGCTACAAGAAGCCCAACCATGAAAGCAGATGACAGAACTCCATCTTCAAAATTGCTCAAGTTGAAATCCCCCCTGTGTAGTACAACCATGGGCATTATGACTTAAGCAAAACAGATTCTCATGTTTTCACAAAATATGATAGAGGATCAGCTCGAGTACCACCTCTAGCTTAAATTAAAGTTTGATTGCAGTCACACACTATACTTGGAACGGATAATTTCAATACCTAGTGCTTTAATGGATAGACGGCAAACAAATGGGAACTTACTGTATTCCGCTGCCAGCTGAACATGTACCACTCGAAGTGCAAGTACCACGACTCCCATTGATACCATTACTTGCTATAGCTCCTCGATCTATATAATTTATCAAGTTCACAACACAAAACACAAAGAGAAGCCTGCAGAGATAGCCAAAAAATAACCACAAGAATAAGACTAATACCAAAACACTCATCAATCAAGCACCCACAAATTTTGGGTTCCCGACAGTTCAAGGACTCAGAAAATGCTGAAAATAAGCCCACAGAGTTTATTCATATCCAATCCTCTCCATTTCCTAAAAAGACTAACAATATATTAAAGAGTTATACAGTAACAAAAACTGTCTATATGCCCATTTCATAGCAGATTCTTATTCTAAGCTGAATTTATCGATTTTGCTCTCCATCAATCTGCTTATTCCAGAAAACTAAAAGATCATCAAATGTACAAACTTCTTTCAACAAAAATGTACAAAACTTCCATAAATAGAACCAATTAGCAGATTTCAAGCGAACAGAGAAAAAATTTCCTACTTCATTCACACTGTGAACTAAAAGCTTTGACATTTCGCCCAATTTTGCCAAAAGTTACAACATTTTTTTGACCTGAGAAACGTATAATGGAGAAAGAAGAGAATTTACTTTTTTGGGGTAAACCATGAAGGCTCTGTGATCTGATCTTTGGTCGAATCTGAATCCCTCTCCATAATTCTAGGGTTTTGACCACGATCACCTTCTCCGTCAACATCCATGGCAAGCTCGGTTTCTGAGAAATCCGAATTTTGGATATTCCATGAGGAGGAAGGGGTATTCTCGTAATAATCGTTTGAAGAAATCAAGAAAATAAAAACTTAAAAAATAAGTCGGTCTTTGTTTTTCCCTCTTGATTATTTGGTTTTTAACTAATTTTGTAGTTTTTGTTTTTCAATTTTTTATTTTTCTTGTAATCGATAAGTTTTTAGGCCTAAAATATCTTCAGACCAAAGATTTAGATCAGTTTAATATAAGTCTATTTCCAGTCTCCAATATTCGAGTTTGGAAAATTTTCAATGAAGATTAATTTTGTTATCATATTTTCCTCAAAAATTAACTTGGATATTACCTAGTACCTACCAAGTCCCCTTCTTAAAAAAATAATAGATTTACTTTAGCGGTTGAAATTTATTTCCAAGTTATCATATAAACACATGACTAATCTAAAAATTAAGTTAAAAACATAACGATAATTTCCGTTCTCTATAAGAAATCTCATGTCAACCATAATTATTCATATAAATTACTCTACAAAGACACACACATCCAAACTATATATTCATCACTCAATAATCATTCATATTCTTGCAGCTAGAGCAAAAAAATGGAAAAAGGTTTAGAAAACCACAAAGCCGAAGTTCCAAGTCAACAACCATTAATTTCTAGGGCTCCGTCTTACAGAACAAACCCTCATGGCTTCTCCACAATGGCTGAGGCTCTAGGAAGAGAAACAACCAATTATATGGAGCAACCTCAAGAAATCTCTCTGACAATCAATTCACCTTACTTCTCAACCTACCAATCCATTCGTACAATATCTAGACAAAACTATCTCCAACAACTTCGCATGCGTTTACACACGTTACTCACATCCGTGGAAGGAGAGGGTTCAACGGAGTTTAACGATATGATCTTGAGGAACAACGGAAGAGAGCTTCATGGGGTTGTATCAAAGTTGACGTCAGAATCCGATTACTTCGTCGAGATTGTCAGTGATAAAGAAGGATCAAGACGCGTAAGACGACTCTTTGGAAAATTTCACCAGACTGACGAAATCTTATTGAACGCTATCGTGCGTAGGTTCATTGATATTATGACCGGAAAATACAGTTATCTCGTTGCGATAACCGCTTTCAAAGTCTCTGAAAGCTTCGAGTTGGTTAGTCTCACGCTCCGTGACGCGCTTTACTTTGCGAGCGACGAAATCGGGTGCATTGCACTTAACCAAATCATAACCGAATCAAACAATATCTTCCGATATGAATTCTTTCACGAAATATCGGAAAACGCTGATTGGCTAAGCATGGACGATTCAGGAAACTTTGTGGTACAACACGTGCTTAACTTCCATGACTTGGAATGCACAAACCGTGTAGCGTTTCGGCTTTGTGGTTACTACGTTGAGCTTTCGTTTGAGAGACGTGGTAGCTACATCGTGGAGCAGATTCTAGAGTCTGGATCGATGATAGCTTTGGATTTGGTCGTGAGTGAGCTTATGGAGTGTGGTGGATTCACGTTGTGGAGGCTGGCTCAGGATGCGTTTGGGAATTACGTTGTGCAAAAGGCATTGAGAGTCACGCGACGCCAGGGTAGGGTTGATTTGTTTTTTGGTCTCGTTAAGAAGTTGAAGTTGTTACCTTTTCTTCATCTCTTGCGTGGGTCTCATCACGGAAGGAACATTGTGGCGATTATCGATTCAACAATTGTATGATTGTTTCGAACGAATTTGAAAATTTGTAATTGATTTTGAATGTTTTGAAAAAGACTTTGGAATTCGCGAAAGAACGTAGGGTTGATTTGTTTCGTGAGCTCGTTGAGAAGCTGAAGCCTTTGATTGATCTCTTGCGTGGATATCAAGGAATAAACATTGCGGCCATCATCGACTTAGACAAAATTGAGGGTGTGGATTAAAGTCTTTATGCTGTTGCTGCTTAATTAGTTTATTTTTTACATCTCATGAAAGTTTGGATGTTAAGGTGGTTGTTTGAACCTATTGTTTAATTATCTATCTCCTCTTTGCGATCAAAATTATGGATTACGTTTGATGGAAATATTTGTGTGATAATGATTGTGTTTTTTATAAGGTAGTCTCAGAAAGTTGACAATGCAAATACATTGATTTAATCTGATAATTGTCCATTTTTCTAATCGATGAGGCTTGTCTCACCAATGAATAACTATACAACTTGTCTCTTTTCTTATTTTTTTCATAACACAGAGATATTTGTTCGTTCATTCCCTAGAACTGAAACGCTCGTATATGAATTTTGATGCACCCGTTTTTGGTTGCGTGACTTGAGGTAATCTTCAATAATCATTTCGGATTCAGAACAAAACATAACGAATTGGTTTCATAAATAGAAAAACATGTTGCAGTATTCTCAGCTCAAGAAACAAATGTACTACAAATGCCATAAAAGTGTTTTTGTCAGAAAGATATAGCAAACTGCTGATAATACTTAAGTTGTCAATGAACCTGATCAAACCATTGCAATGATTATAAAAGAAAATTGGAGATTCTTTCTACTCAAACCCAATGATTCTCTTCAATCCAGGAAACAAGCCAGAAAACGAAGACATAGAAGCAGAAGATTCCATAGAAGAATCCAAACACTCTTGTTCAACCATTTCTTTCACAGATCTAACAGATAAAGGCTGAAAATCTACAGCCCATTCATCCACGAACTCTCTAACCAGAACCACTTTCTCTTCTTCTCCAATCTTGCTCCATTTAATCTTCATCTCATCTTCTTTCAATTCCATATGCCTACAAAACTCTCCCCATAGAATCTCACCGCTCTTCTTCATCGCTTCTCTTCTCTGTTCCGCGACTGTGTTCGCTTTCCCGATTTCTCTAGCCAAATCTTTCGCTAGCTCCGAATCGGTCATAATCTTCTTCTTCTTCTTCGGCTTCCTAATCCTCATGTTTCTGATGATGTCATCGTCTTCGTCGTCTCTCTTTATGCACTGAATTCGGGTTACGGGTCGGGTCAACACTTGGTGAAATTTGAGATTCCGAGAAAAGGAATTGTTTTGGGGGAGAAGATGAAGTAATCTCACCGACATCTCTCTGCTCTGCTGCTGCTCTCTCTCTCTCCCTTTGTCCCAAATGGCCAAATCCTTTAGTGTTATTATTATCCGGTCTAATAATCTTCATTATATTGCATTCTATATTCTTTTACCATCGACTAACTAATCACAATTAATCAAAATATGACCCATTTACAAACCATAGTTCCTTTTAAGACATGGACGTAATCCTTTGTTTTAAAGGTGGAACCATAGTTTCGAGATATTAGAGCTTCTTTATATATGCAGTTCAACATACCAAACAAGCCACAATTGGGAAAAACATAACTTCATGGAAACAGTAATCACAAGCAAGAAAATACATGTATCACAATACAAGTTAAATGTTTGTGTTTTGTTTGAAGGTGTGTCCTGGAAAAGGAACAAAGAAGTTCTACAAAATTTCATCAAAATATGAATCATTTACAGCTAAAACCAAAAGATGGAACCTTTCCGACATTTGAGCTTCCCTATGCTCAAGCAAGTCTCTGTTCTCGACTCTGACATCGTCTTCACTCTGTTTTCAAGTTAGTGAGAATGAGTTCCGCTAAGATATCGACCCATGTGTCCGGAACACCGGGTAGGCACCAATGCATACAGTCTTGTCCCCATATTGCCACCGCGTCCTGCTTCCCTAACCAGATCGCTGGGTGGGCATCTGCTCTGAATTCGCTTAGATGGGTCAGATCAAGTAACTTGATCTTTGTCGTTTGCAACTCATTCTTGATGATTTGGTTAATCTTTCTTGCTTCTTTGTTCACTCCATTGTTCCTGGGATCAAACCACAAGTCAAGCTGTCTAGGTCTTAGCATCAACATCATTTATCAGAACGCAATAGGACTAAATCGAAAACAAATATATTTTCTACCATCTCTGAGGAAGCCCAGAGAAAGACCAGAGTTGCTTAGTAAAACTCGTTACCATACCTGGTTTTCTTTGAGTGGCTTATCGAGCAAACAACTTCCATTCTGGTTCCAATCACCGCCATCGAAATGCCTTGGTGATTGCAAACGCCAGAACTTAAGGGTCTTTGCTGGGACTTCTCTTTGGATATAAGAAACCATATGTTGAAGAACTATTTCAAATCCTTGCAATATATCAAGAGGAGGATTTATCGGCTTTCCCTTTCGATAGAAGACAAGAGGTGACTCTTTAGGAAACTTATCGTAACCCCACCTAAACCCAAAAAACAGATCCAGATACTAAAAAGCTGTAAGCATGGAACGAAAAAGAAAAACAAACAGGTCAAGGATATAACTATTACCAATGGCCAGAGTTAAAAATGAGAACATCGTAGAAGCTAGTGACATTGATCCACTCATTTGCAGGAACATCAACATCAACTCGATACCTTCCTTTCACTCCGTCTTGATTAGCTTCAACAGAAGACTTCGGCTGCCACCTTTTATCATATCAGTTTAGAAGAACATATAAGGCTGGAAAAAATTCAACATATACAAAAACACATTCATTATGCTTTCAAGTTTCAACTCTAAAGCATAATGGCCAGAAAACTTCTAATGGCATTCACAGCTGAAGAAAGGAATTGAAGTTTCTCTATGGACTCTAAATTTTTTGCAAATGCCACCTAACAAGCCTATAACTTGGCAATCTTAATCCAAAAGATTGAACTTTGATTTCTCCCTTGAAGAGCTAAGTTACAAGAACTCAAAGCATAACCCTTTTTAGATTTCAAACTATGAAAGTAAGAAATCTTACTGATATTTGGCAAGAAGAACAGCTCTATGATAAGCAACAGTGACATTGAACTTAGGGAAGTAAGCTCCACGCCAAGCTTTTTTCTTCTTCCACTTCACAGCACTTGGATCAGCCAATCTAAGTATACACAAGAACGAAACCAAGAAATTCTCATTTAGAGAATCACCAACAAACCCAACATTCTTGTTCCTCATCATCCCTAGAAACCGAGCCGGGTCAATGCGACTCAATCCACAGCCATTGGGAATCCATCTCCATGAATTGATAACATCCATGTTATCTCGCTTGTTCCGTAAACAATTCCAAGCGTTTCTGTGGAAAGGACAAGTCTCGTCGTACAACGGTTTCGGAGTTTCTGGATTGAAAACCCATTTGCCGGAGAAGAGATCGCACGGCGGAGGAGAGACGAGGTTTGATGTGATCGGGCGGCGGAGAAGGATTAAGGAATAGAAGAGGAGTAATAAGAGAGAAAGGAGCAGAAGACGTGGAAGAAGTGAAGAAGATCGGAGCTTCGACGGCATCGTCGTGTAGATTCGTCTGGATCCCAACTCCATCGATTCATGGCGAAATCTGGAGGAGAAAGACGACACTGTAATGAAATCTCGCGGTTAAACCGGTAATTTATTCCGGTTCCGATTAATTTCTTACGGTTTAAATCTACTCCGGTTTTCGGTTTGATGTTCATGTGGTTTTCGGTTTTAATCGATTTTGATTTAGATTTTAGAAGATTATTCATTTGGTTTATCTACTAACGTAACCTCAGAATCTGATAAACTAATTTAAGTAGTTAAAAAGGAAAAGAAAATTAAGTGGATAAAGATAAGGATAATAAAATATTGGATGGTTCAAAATGTAATATGAAATTTTGGTTTTCTTAGAGTTGTTGTTTTGGCTTGGTTCGTATTAGTGACGAACGAGAGGACCCAAATGGTTCGTATACGTGGTTAGTATTATTGACGGCTCTCACCATTTTATTATTTTTTGTAGAAACCTTTTTTTAAAATCGTTTTCATTGGTCCGCTGCATGCATAATTAAAGATTAATTTATAAAAGTAATTAAAAAAAAAAAGAGAAGTAATCATCCAACTAATCTAATCTAATCTCTTTCTTCTTCTTCTTCTTCTCCTACTTCATTCACATCTTCTCACAACAGCCTCCTGTGGTTTACTTCTTCACATCTCCTGTAAGTTCAAGAAATGTGTTGTTTTATTATATTCATCTATGTGAATAATTAATTCTGTCAATCTCTACATTTGCACTAGATTGGTTTTCCTTTTTGTGTGTAATAATGAAACCATTGGCTTTTGATTTTGAGCGATTCTCTTGGAATCGATTGGTATTTATCTTTCCCTTCTATTAATTCGATCTTGGTGTCCTGATTTATTTGTCTCTTTATTTGGATTTTGTTTTAAAAAACGAAACTTTAGTTTTGTAACAGTGTGCATTTGCTTGTAAGTTTTTAGCTGCTATACAAGTTTTTGAGTCTCTTTATCATATCATATTGATGTTTTTTGAATCAGTTTGCAGAAATGGAGACTGGTGCTGGTATAGGTTTGTACCCTTTGCACCGCTGCAAAACCATTTACCTAGTGAGTGGTGTTATTATATCTCTTTGAGCTTAAATCTATCATTTCAAGGTTTCAAAGATGCTCTAGTGTTTGGAGTTGATATTGACTACTTTTTGTTCAGGTGAGACATGCTCAGGGGATTCACAATGTTGATGGCGAAAAGAACTATAAGGCTTACATGTCTCATGACTACTTTGATGCTGAGTTGACCCAGCTTGGCTGGCAACAGGTCTACAGAGCAAAACAGCTCCACTTGCATCTCTTTATCCAAAAAAATTAATATAGATTCTCTTGCTGACAGGTAGATAGTTTGCGTAAGCATGTTCATTCCAGTGGACTTCACAAGAAGATCGAACTGGTCATTTCGTCTCCATTGATGAGGTACTTTAGACATCTGTGATTACTGATATCTTAGTATAATAGATTGTGTGAGACTGATCATTCACATTGATGCACTCCATTTAGATAATAAACCTTTTGACAGTGTTAAAATTTGTTGATTTTTGTGTATTTGCTTTGTATATAGAACATTGCAAACTGCTGTTGGTGTTTTTGGTGGAGAGGGCTACACAGATATGAGTGATGTACTACCTCTAATGGTAGCAAATGCAGGAAATAGCAGCCGTGCAGCTATATCTAGTTCAAACTGCCCACCAATTATTACAGAGGAGTCCTGCAGAGAACATTTGGTATGCCTTTTCAGTGTAACACATATAGCCTAGAGACAAACTAAAATTGAGCATAATTGCGTCTATCTATCTTCACAATTATCGCAAAACTTCATGGTAAAACCAAGTTTTGCAGTTAATATTTTCACTCCTACTCACCAATTAAAGTGATCATGAAACAACAAGTTTTGCAGTATTTTTCACTCCTACTCACAAGTTTTGCTGTCCTATTCAAAAGCTTAGATCTAGTCACAAAATAATTATGCTTAGCTGCGTCAAGTTTTCACTTTTGTATTCCATTTTTGTGGACACAGGGAGTGCATCCATGTGATCAGAGGAGAAGTATCAGCGACTATCAGTTTCTTTTCCCTGCAGTTGACTTTTCACTGGCAAGTAAAATTGAGAGTCTTAGATGTGCCTGGCATTGATTATTACTTGTAATCTTCTGGTTGCCCAATTGACTAATAGCAGCGCCCAGCTCCGCCAAATAACTTATATGTGCTTCAAATGACTCCTCACATTTAAATTTGCGTTCAGATAAAAAGCGAGGAAGACAAGTTATGGAAGGCTGATGTTAGAGAAACAATTGAAGAACTTGCAGCTAGAGGAAAAAAGTTCCTGAACTGGTATATTTTCTTTTCTACCTAAACTCTAGGAGATTAGTTATTTTTAATGGATTGTACAGAACGTGAAACTTAGAGAAACATCCTCTCCGCTTCCTCGACACTGTTAGTTTGATAAGTAGAAGTTGGCATCAAATAGGATCAATCTCTGATGAAAGAAGATTCTTTCCATGTAGAATTGAAGTAATCTCCATTAGTCTTGTTGATATATCGGAAATGCTGATGGAACCGAACTGTGTATGATGGCTGGTTTTGGATTTGTAGGCTATGGACAAGGAAAGAGAAAGAGATAGCGATTGTGACACACAGTGGTTTCTTGTTTCACACATTGAATGCACTACAAAACGAGTGTCATCCAGATGTTAAGAAGGAAATTTGCAGCCAGTAAGCTTTCACACTCTTAGTTAGGAATTTTTAATCTATTGGGTTTATAATTTGCATTTGATTTGCAGCTTTGCGAATTGTGAGCTACGTTCAATGGTCATCGTCGATAGAAGGTATGGAGTTTCTTCATTCATTTTTCTTGCCATGAGCTTTGAAGATGTAACCAAGTATAGTCTAATGTTCTTTCATGTGATTCACAGTATGTTGGGATCAGACACTTCGGTGACTGATTATCCAGGAAAGATTCCAAAGGGGAGTGACCTTCCAAGTGATGCTGTTGTAGATGATAACAACATCAAAGTTGAGTAATTCTTTATGGACACTGCATTGTCTTCAACTTTCTATTTATCTATACACAAACACCTTCTTTGTTGTATGCAACTCTCTTATTAGTCTTACTATTGACTTATTGAGTTAAAGATACTTTGCTAGTTGGCTTAATTTGGGACTTGGGTCATAATGTCGTCTTTTTGGTAAAACAATAACATATGGAAATATTTTAGAACCTTATCCCAAAGATTTTCATCCATCCTTTCCACAACATATCTGTAAGTAGACAGCATTGAGTGCCCCAAACAAAAGCACTGCACGATGCAAGTTTTTCACATACCTAGCTTTTGCTGTTTAAGCAATGACTTCTTCTTATTTGTGACATTGATGAGCTCTCATCACATTGGTAATGCCACAACTGCAAGGATTGGTAGTGCTCTAATTTACTGTTGATGTCAATGATAATTTCACCTAGGGCATTGCACATCTTGACTTCCTTCACTAAAAAGATGCTCAAGGAACTGAGTGACAAGTCCAAGTCGGTTTCTGAAAAGTTAGGCTTAAAGCCAAAGGGTGAGAAATACAGGCAAGTATAGGTTAGGATAAACCTCTGGGCGTTTATCATCCAGACACCTTAATGATGTGTCAAAAGACCCAGTTACCTTGTGTCCCAAGAACTCTCGTTCAATATAAAGACCCAGTTAACAAAAAATTTAATGTTTTCTTAATCTGTGTGCAAAACTCTAAAATGACACTCTTTGTGAAATAGAGGGAGTAATATATTAGTAATATTTATATTTGTAATAACTTAAGTGCCTAAATTATTCGGATGTTAAGATATTTTCGGGTGTTTTAGCTACTTTGGGGTAGATTCGGGTATAAAATACTTGAGTTTTATATATTTGTTGAGTATTTTTCAATACTTTGCATAGAATCGGATACAAAATTTCTAATATTTGGATACTTCGGGTAAACCCGAATCCGAACCCGAAATATCCGATCCGAACCCGATCCGAACCCGACCCGAACCCGAAGTTGCAAAATACTCGAACGGGTCTTAGTTATCTAAATCCGAAAAACCCGAACCCGAAAAACCCGATCCGAACCCGACCCGAATATCCGAACGCCCAGGCCTAGATAAACCTCTGGGCGTTTATCATCCAGACACCTTAATGATGTGTCAAAAGACCCAGTTACCTTGTGTCCCAAGAACTCTCGTTCAATATAAAGAAGCATTTTGCTGGTAACGAGTGAGAGATCTTGGGACAAACCCAAAACGATCTCAAACATTGATCAGCGTCAGCAAGTTGTGACAAGCTCCTCACAATAAATACTGCCATCGAGCAATTTACCATACAACTACGCTTACACAAACCTTATACCCCTTTTGCTTTTACCACACCACTTCACATATTTCGATATTTTAATTTTTGTTTTATGTGAAGAAAAGATTAAAATGATCAAATCAAAGAGAATCATATATAGAGTGCATCATTATATATAACATAAAACATCAAAATTACATATTAGCCTCCTCTACCGATATTTGCTCCCTAGACAGAATCGGCAACAGCAACAGTATCCGCCTTATTGTCAACATGTTGTGAGCTTCGGCCTCCATCTGATGATAGGCTTGCACAAAGGCTATCCCAAAGCCATGCCGAGCTTTCAGTAAAAGGTATATGTTCTGTAGGAACTGCTAAGACAACATTGTAACCTCTCCCATGCAAACTTCGAATAACACTGACAGTCAACGATTCTTTCAAGTTCTTTGAGAGTACAATCAAATTGGATTCTATAGGACTGTCCACTGCCCACCGAAGAATGTCCACTAACATCTTATGATCTCTAGCATATCCATACGCCTCAGGAACTACATATCAACCAAGATCTAGATTACATTACAAATTATAAATCGATATTAGGTACAAAGGAGGAATTCACTCACTATCGGGTACGAAATTGATACTGATTCCGGCAGACTCATATTTATCAATCAATTCTTTGGGGAGGAGGTTTTTCTCATCTTGGTACAACTGGATTGACACAGGACCATTATGACAACCCTTATCCTCAAGAGTTGATTTTATATTCTTGATGATTAAATAAGGATCACATTCAGGGATTGGAAAATCCACCAAGTCCCAAAACACACCTGTGTTACCCTCTGCCACCGGAGACACCATGGAATCAAAAATCAATACAATCCAATTAAAAAAGATTTACTATGATAAAATCTTAGTTAACAATCAGACGCAGGAAAATCTAATCAAAAATATATATATATATAAAGACCAAACAACTTCGAGAGATATAGCGAGATCTTACTGGCGTATATTTCGGCCCCGTAAGGATTATCCACGTGAGACATGTTTCGGCCGGAAGACATGTTTTCGTCGGCAGCCATGGTTTCCGCGGCGAGCGAGGACATTGGAGACTTGTCTCAACAACAAACAAAGTAAATTAGAAACGTATAGATCACGTGAAACTTTATCTTGTTAGGGTTTAGATCTGTTCTCAGATAGTATATCTAATTGGGCTGGGCCTTGCAGATATCAACTAAGCCCAGTTGTCCTCATTCACCGAACCTTTTACTCTCGACTTTTCCAAACGAAAGGGTTAAAAGGAAATAACATAAGAGTAAAAAGAAAAAAAGGAAACTTGAATCCCAAACATAGGTGAAAAAAAGAAACTACACATAGGTTTGAAAAAAAAAGGAAATTACATAGAAACTTGAAAAAAAGGAAATTACACAGAAGATGATTCTATAAATATAGTCTATCTTCTCTGTGTCTAATCGTGTTTTAGTATCATCATCATCATCACAAATCAGAGAAAGAGAGAGTCATAAAGTGAGAAGATTGCAATTACATGCTCTGATTTTTTTAGCATTCTCTTCTTCGATTCATGCTTTGCTTCTTCTATTTTATCTTTAATTTGTTGTGAGTTTTTGCCGTTGCTTTTCGCCAACAAGAAACGAGAGCGTGATGGACGATGGGCCCTTTGATTCCAATCACTGGAAGCGAGATCATAGATGTATGTGCGATCTCTCTTCTCCGTCAGTTCGTCGTGACTGCTGGTCTGTGGTTTTTAAGAAACTCTAGGGAGAATTCTGACGAGGTGGGTGCTACATCGTCGACGGAGATGATCAAATAGAGGCAAGCTTGAGAAGGTGGATGGATCGGGATTCGTTTGCCGGTGACGGTGCCAAAGCCCAAACAAAACACGATTCCGGCCCATAAAAACTAGGTCAATTTCATCTCTTCTCTTTTTCTTTTAATTAATAAATTTAAAACTTTTATTCGCTAAATTTTTTAAGTTTACGGATTTTAGTAAAACTTCTTACGGATTTTTAACATTTTTCTCGATTTTCTAAATTTTTTTATTAAAGATTTTCAATTTTTCAATGGGTTTTATAACAATTTTTTAAAGCTTTTTAAATAATAGAAATTTGGATGATAAATTTACAAGACGTTGTGAAACTAACCGGATTTTGGATCCAGCATTTGTCGTTAGCGATTCCACAAATTCAACTTGTTTTCGCATCGTTATGTAGATTTAGCATTAAAGTTTTTAAATTTTTTTAAAAAAGATTTTTAATTTTTCAATTGGTTTTAAAACAATTTTTAAAGCTTTTCAAATAATATAAATTTGAATAATAATTTTACAAGACGTTGTGAAACTAACCTGATTTTGGATCCAGCATTTGTCGTTAGCGATTCCACAAATTCAACTTGTTTTCGCATCGTTATGTAGATTTAGCATTCAAGTTTTTAAATTTTTTTAGAAAAGATTTTCAAATTTTCAATTGGTTTTAAAACAATTTTTTAAAGCTTTTTAAATAATATAAATTTGGATAATAATTTTACAAGACGTTGTGAAACTAACCGGATTTTGGATCCAGCATTTGTCGTTAGCGATTCCACAAATTCAACTTGTTTTCGCATCGTTATGTAGATTTAGCATTCAAGTTTTTAAATTTTTTTAGAAAAGATTTTCAAATTTTCAATTGGTTTTAAAACAATTTTTTAAAGCTTTTTAAATAATATAAATTTGGATAATAATTTTACAAGACGTTGTGAAACTAACCGGATTTTGGATCTTGTTCTCATCGTTATGTAGATTTCTCATTCAAATTTCTAAATTTTTTTTGAAAATGGATTTTAAATGTTCGTTACAATTTTCATTCAATATATTTTAAAGTTTCTTATGAGTTACTTGACAACTTGACAACATTACAAGTACAAGCGCAAATATAAACTTGAACAAAACCAATTTACATCTTTTTAAATTAATCATAGTCGATGTAGGAAATCCCAACACGGTTTATAGCACAATAATTGTCGATTTGTCAGATCAAATGACATGTTAACTTATATAATGCAAACATAAATAGTATTCTTGCCTTTTCAGTTCTCTGGAAGATCCTTAAGAATTCAGTTTGTATTGAGAATATCATAAAAGATAGCAGGTTTCTTGGTAACTGGAGCCAGTTCCTGCAATACCACAATCGGTTCAAGATCCGGACAGTAAGTGAAAGCTCTTACTAGTAAGAAATTTCATAGAATGGAATCGGATACAAGACCATGTAGGAACCACTACTATTTACCGCCTCTTACCGCACTACTCTCTTTCTACTTGACCTTTTAAAAATGTATCATTTCCGTGCGGACAATCTAAGTTCTAAGATGTGCAGAGAGAGAGAAGAGAAAGTACCTCAACTGCGGCAGCTAAACCAAGGACGGTAGCTTCGGCCCAAGGTCTTCCCATTATTTGTAATCCTATCGGAAGCCCTTCCTTATCATAACCAACCTGCGTTGATTTTTGTTTGCCAATATGTTAAAATAGAGAGTGATCAATCAGAAGAAGATATGATTATTCCAAGAATAAAATAAGTAACATGATAGTCTAAGCCTTGGTTAGAGGCTGATTAAAAATTATCGCTTACCGGGACAGATATGGCCGGGAAGCCGAGGAGATTTGCGGCTAGAACGAACCGCATTAGATCAGCTGGAAAAGAAGCAATTTGAGTATCAGAAGTTTAAAACTCTGATGTAAGTGTTATGTATTGGATTACACAGAAAGTAAGAAGTTAAGAGTAAGAAGTTAAGAGTTTCTGCTTGACAAACTTGTCACTTGAAAATTGGTTTCTCCATTTTTGAGAGCATCAGGAGGTATCACTGGAGCTGTCATACTGTTTGTAAAAAGTGAGCGAAGTTTAAGCAGTAATATACAAGAAATTGTATCTGAAGACAATGGAAGTAATATAGGGATCTTCGATTCGCTAGATGGTTTGATAAGATATGAATTATCTATGCATGGAATTATTTTACGTACCCAGTTGTAGGGGTCACAATGACATCAACGTCTTTGAAGATATTCATGTGATACTCCATCAATCTTCTCCTGCAACAAAAATTCTATCAGTATTGGTATGAGGAAATGACGTATGTACTCGCCGAAGCAAGCTGCCTCTAGAGTCAATAATAATCTACTCATAATCCTACATTTCCAGATATCAGACTTTTATCAACAGACTGGTACGGAGTTTAAAACATGTAGTACAGTTACGACCAAGTGATTTGTGGAAGAATCATATGAGACAATTACCATGAGAAAATCATTCTGTGGCACTTCAAGCAAAAAATTACTCTTGTGATTTTAGAAGCAAATGTGAAAGCGGTGCATATTTATATTGCCGCTTACCTTAGACATTGGGCAGTGATATAGTCTGAAGCAGAGAATGAACGGAAAATTGCAAAGCTGGTACGAGTGTCATAAGTTAGTTTTGAATTTTTCCTGAAATACAAGACAAAGAAGGGAATTTTTAAACCAAGTTCTAATTTGTTTCGTAGATGATAGAAATAGAAAGGGGATATAGAGATTAACTGCTACTGAAATCAGAAAAAGCCTAGAGACATACCCAGCTTCACAGTAAGGAGTAAGAGAAGACAGTGTTGCAGACCCAATCGAAATAACATGGGCTGCACGCATCTCTTCCAGTTCAGGAACCACTATCTCCACCACCTGAAATGGAAGTTATATAGAGAATGTAGCTGAAACAATGTGTTGATAGAAAATATGTAGATTGAGAGAGACGTACTGAAACGATCAGCTTACTTTGCAACCGTGATTGTTTGACAGGAGCTTAAGGATGTCTTCGCATTTGTCAGAGATGTCACTTGAATTGACATCATTAAACCACTGCATGTATAAAAACAAGGCACTAAATATGCCACTGGAATAATAAAAGCCAACTCAGATCAACTAGCAAGGATAGAATATTCACCTTTGTATATTTTCCTAGTCGTAGAGATCCTATGGCATTGCTTCCGTTGTGAGACAATAACTTTGGAAAACAGGGTGGGCTCTACAGAATAATTGCAAAGACCAAATCATACGGGTACATATTTGCAAGATTATATGCCATTATCACACACAATTATCATTACATCTAGAAATGCTTGAAACTTTATCTTTAATTCTTTTTCTAAAATCTTTGTGGCTCAGCAAGTAAAAGAGATATCATATTTTCCTGAGACACTTCTACAAACGACTGTATTTCATACTTTTTCATTAAATTTTTTTAATATATATACTATGACTGAAAAAGTTACCGGTTTCAAATTAAATCTATCAGCAGATGAAGAACCCAAGATTGCAGCATAACTGAAAAAACACACAAAAAGGCAGATTAGTTAAACATCCAGATTTATCCCAAGACAAACATTTGAAGTAGATAATTTATGGTTTTGCTCTGAACAGATTTACAAAGAATAATTCTCGTCTCAAAAAAGTTAAAAACTTACACCAAGAAGGCATCTTCCAGAGATGAAGCAAGTGGACCAATTATTTCCACTGTTCCACCTTCACATAATGACCTGCAGAGATGACAATGGTCAAAACAGAAATCATATGCAAATAAGGCTGGCCATGGACCAAAGGCATCTCATATATTAAAACAACAATATTTAAGAGTTAGCTTGTCGGTACAAATTATCAACTAATATGTAAACTCTTAGAGCACTGATGAAAAATTATCCGCTTTTGAAAGGATGTGAAATAATGTCAAAAGAGACATATATTTACCAAGCAAGGAGGAACAAGGCGTAATGAATTTCTGATAGGAATCCTGATTCTCTTACCCTGTCATATCTGTCCGACCATATGTTGTTTTCAGTCCCGTTATACCACAAAGTGCTGAAGGGATGCGAACAGAACCTGCATTTCCAGAAACACTAAACCTAGTAGGTATGCAGATCACTGGTCAGATCAAACAATATAAAAATAACTTTAATACCTCCACCATCTGTTCCTAGAGCAGCTGAACATAGTCCAGCGGCTACAATAGCTGCTGAACCTGAGGAAGATCCGCCCGTGTACCTTTTAGAATCATGTGGGTTTCTTGTGGTTCTGCAATGCACAATACCAGAAGAACATACACATGAAAAACTAGAGTGAACTAAAGGTGCAAGAAACATAGTGAAGTAAACCGTATCAAGTAACAAAACAGTT